GCTCTTCCCCCCATCTTTCTAAGAAATGCATTTTTTATGAACCATTCGATAGCAGGTCGGCTATGTCTTGTTCCTTATCTCTTCATCCTGTATTTCTTTAAAACAAGGATGTCATTTTACACCATCATAATCATCACATTCAGGAAACTTAGCATTGGTAGGGGATTTTGCCGGCTCTCTTGTCATTGGCTCTGCTATGTCCTTGAGAGACTTTCCCTCCGGTCCAGGGTCCAGTCTGGGATCCGTGCTGCCTCACTCAGCTGGCATGCCTCTTCAGTCTTTTTAAAGCTGGGCATGTCCTCAGCTGTGCTTTGTTTTTCATGATGGTGACACTTTGGAAAACCGTAGGCCAGTCCTTTTTAAACATATTCCTGAAGTTGGGTTGTAAGTATCTCCTTGCGAGTAAATCCAGGTTCTGCCTCCCTGGCCAGGTACTACAGACATGCTTGCCTTCCCGGGCGGCCTGTCCAGAGCACACACACCGGTTTGGTCCTCGGTAGTGGTGTTCGCTGTGATCGTCTCCAGGCAGGGTAGCTCACTTCTCCAGTCTGAGGCCGTGACTTCTTGCTATAACAAGTAAGCAGCCTGTGGGAGGAGACTTACACCCCCGTCCTCCTCACCCTTCCCCAGGGTTAATATCCATGGGTGACTTCGGTTTGGTTTGGTGCTTCCAGATGGTGACTTCCCAAGCCCAGCACGCCCTGCACCTTTGTCCTGCGGTGCTTGGTGCTAGTAAGGAAGGACCCTCTGCAGTCACTACTTACCTGTGTGTCCATCTGCTGCCAGCCCAGCTCGCGCAGTCCTGTTTTATTTCATGGGCTAAAGTTGATCACTATCCTTATTGTATCTGGATTCTTTAATTGCCCTGAACCTGGCCAGTGGGAGCCCCCTTTAGGCTGTCCTTTCTAACACAAGATGTCCCGTGCTCATTTTATACCTCGCCTATCCAGCTCAGGGGTTTCTTTAGGAGCCCCGGGTCCTTTTAGTAAGGGATGATATTTAGAGATGTTAGCTGTTAGTGTATAATTCAGTGTTGTGGTTTAAGAACACCCTGCGATTTCAGTCCCTTTACATTAATTGGGCCTGTTTTTGGCCCCACATGGAGTCTATTTTAGTGAACATAACCATGCCCACTAAAAAAATAACGTATGTTCCGCAATTGTAGAATGTGTGACCGAGAAACATCGATCAGGTCCAAGAGGCTGGTACATCACCTGTCTCTTTGCTTATTATTTGCTGTTTTTTTAAAATCTATTATTGTTCTTTCAATTTTACGAGAAGAGTGTTTAACATCTCCAACTCTAATTGTGAAACTGTCTGTGTCTCTCTTTAACACTGACAGTGTTTCTTCGCAAGTATTTCGGAGTTCTTCTTTAGGTGCATACACATTTGTAAGTGTCATACAGTTCTAATGAACTGATCCCTTCTATCACTTTGAAGTGCCTCTCTTTCTCCTTGGTGGTCTTACCTGTCATGAAGACTGTCTCATCTGATATGAATATACTCACTCTAACCTTCTGCTTACTGTTTGTATTCTATATCATATTTCTTTTCTCCTGACTTACATCTAGTCTGCGTTTTTATATTTGAAATGTGTTTTCATGGCTCTTACTTTCCTACCCATCTGACAGCCTCTGTCTTTTAATTCTATGTATTCATTGACCTTTTAGCCACACCTCTTGGCATCCGTTTTCTTTAGTAATTGCCCTAGGAGTTATATACATTCTTAAATTTTTATGTCTTTTTGGAATTGATACCATATTACTTCGCTTTAAATGAAGAAATCCTACTACCGCATAGACCCACCGCCCTCTTCTTGTTCCTTATGCTGAATTCGTCACATGCATTGCACCTACACGCTCTAAACCCCGACTTCTAATTCCAGCTCGTCCGTGATGTCAGATTGGTCTCTATTGATTGCTTTGTTTTGAGTGTCATGTTTTCCTATTTCGTTGTGTGTCTAGCTGTTTTTGATTATATTGTGGACATTGTGTATGATGCTGTGAAACTTTGAATTCTGTCATAGTCTCTTAGCATTTTTGTGGGATTTGTGTGTGTGTATGTGTGTGTGGTATTTTATTTGAGAGCAGAGTCTTACCATGTTGCAATTCTCCTGCCTCAGCTTCCAAGCAGCCGGGACCCTGTGTGTGCAGTACCATGCCCGGTTTTTTTAGGGTGGGCCAAGGACTAACCCTGGCCTCCCATGTGGCTTCAGCCTGCCCCACAGCAGCATCCGGCACACATTGTTGTGACTGGAACAAAAGTGTCCATTTTTTTGCGTGTTTATTCCAGCAGTCAGTTCACTGATCTAAATTCTCTACTTCTAACTGTGTCTCCCTTGAGGTGGACATAGGTTCTCTCTTAGCCTTAACTGGTCTGCATGGAGTCTGCCAAACACATGCATACGTGAAGGGTTAGCCGGAAGTTTGAGCAGATTTAAACACAAAGTTTAGGGCTCCCCTTCTGGTTCTCTCCCTTCTGAGATTTACACCAGGATACCCATCTGTGGTTACCCTAAGTACTACTTTATGGTTTTAAAAGATAAAATACTGTGACATTTGTGTCTGAGTTTTAGACACCCTGCATATGGTATTAATGGTTGTTGTCAGGCAAAAAGAAGTAAAATGGAAAAATCACCTGAAGTGTTTCCGAATGCCAGGAAGAAGCAACACCCCCCTTTACCTGCACGGGTCACACTCCAGCATCCTTGAAGGGTTTTCTGGGTGGTTTTGTTTTTGTATTCTTTAAAGTTTATTTCCTCCACAAAAGAGAGAGACATTGACAAAGAGACGGGTGTCCCTAATGGGTCTAGCCAGCCTGGATCCTGGGGCATGTGTGTGCCCACCCTCAGCGTGCTCAGGGAGGGTCGGGGGCACAAGCCCAGGACCTTTCCCGCGTGGGTCCAGTTGCATCAACCACTGTGCCCCACATGCCTCAGGGGTTCGTGTTACATCATGTCCAGTTTATGTTGTTGTCTATGAGACTGGTCCAAGAGGAAGTGTGCCCCGTCCCCAGAAGTGGAATCTCCCAGTGTGAGCGTAGAACAGTCGGGCTGACTGCAGAGTCGGTCCTGCCGCCTGGACTCAGACGTGGCCATGGCATACCCTCCGCACAGCTGCTCTGTCGTCTGCCTCTGTTCATGCCTCCTGAGTGAGGGAGGACAGGTGCTCACTGTCATGGACAGCATATCCTCTCTTCCTGGTCTCAGACTGTAATAAGTCACTGCACACTTGTCACAGAGCAGAGCGTCCTCTGTGCGAGAAAGGAGAGTTTCTCTGTGGCGAGCCCTGCTGCGGGTCAGGCAGGTGCTGGGTACTTTATAGGTTTTATCTGATTTAATTCTTTTTTATTTTCTTTTAAGATGAGGTCGCTCTGTGGCAGGACCCTCTGGCCTCAGCCTCTCAGTTGGGACTACAGAGGTGTACCACCGTGCCTCATTCTTTTCATTAATAGACAGGGTCTTGCTATGGCCAGCCTCGAGCTTGCAAACCTCCTGCCTCGGCCTCCCAAGTCCCTGGGATCCAGGGTACATACGCTGTGACTCTAGGTGGGACCGGGACCAGGAACTGAACTACATGTCATGCCAGTCTGCGGGGCACAGTGTCTCAGCAGTGTGCACCACCACAGCTGGGCCTAACGTGATGTAGGGTTTTTTTTTTTTTTTAACAACAACAAAAAAATTATTTATTTACCTATCTATTTCTTCGATGTGACTTTTAAGCTGCTGGGTCTGGGACTTAAACTGAAGTCGGCCATGTTGGAACCCAGCACCTTAACCACCACACCACCTGCTGGCCCCAATCTGATTTAGTTATAATCACTACTGTATGGGGAAAGAGACTCCACTTCACAGCTGTATTTGCCTTCTGAAATCGTGTTACATTCCCTTAAATCTGTAGTGATTCTCTGCAGTGTGAAAAGGGTATTCCTGTTTGCTGGCAATTGATGAAAGAACGAAAGAGTCCATGTAAAGCAGGTTTGAGTTCTCTGCTATTAAAATCATTGAGCTTTATCATGTTTCAGGTTTCACGTGCAATCTGCATATGTGACAATAGTGCCAAAATTGCACTAACTACAAACACAATTTTGCGATAACAACCTGTTAGCTTTTACGGTGGCAATTACTGTCATACACCAAATGATGGGGCAGCTGGTTCTGAAGTATGTTTTCATTTGAAGCCTCCAAAGCAATAAGAGTCTCAGTTCTGGGATCTGCGGGTTCTTCAGAAAAGATCATTTCACAGAATGAAACCCACCTTCACCGTCTTCTAATCTGGGCGTTAGGAGTATGTTTTCCAAAGCAAGGTTCTAAGGGCATATGTTATAATGAGAGCGAACAGTCATTCCTTAATGGAGGTGGAACCTAAAATGTGACTATTTTTGAAAATACAAAGGCCTTTCCAGCTATGTTTTTAAAGGGGACAGTTGAGCAGCGTCTGTGCCGTGGTGACGACAGAGATGCAGCTTTTATGACGTGCCTAATGGATGGCATTGAGTAGCTAGTGGCGATCCTCCGATAATCGACATGATGTGCTGGGTGCTGACCGACTGCATTTGCTGTGTTTTCTAGCCTGATGAAAGACTACTTTTTTAAGCCGCCCATTAACCAGTTCAGCCTGAACTTCCTGGATCAGGAGCTGGAGCGATCCTACAGGACCAGCTATCAGGAAGAGGTGTGTTTTTCTTTGTGATTTTACTAAACAAACGTATTGTTCTCATGGAGTGGTTCACTGTTAGCTTTGCGCTTTAGTGAGTGACTAGAGTGAAGGCTAATATTGATTTCCTGCAAGCTGTAAGCCTTTAGTTGCAACCATATGTGAATTTAGCTTTGGAAGGAAGAAAACAACAAACAAGTCTGAGGTTCTTTGTCTTAACCTCAGCCCTGTCATCGTCCGACTCTCCTCTCTAGCTGGTGTCTCCAGGCCTGTGTGGCCGTCCCCAGGCCTGGATGGGTGCCCTGACCATACCTATCCAGGGTTCTGGAGGGAGACTTCTCCACCTATGCCTTGTCTTCTTCCTGTTCCCTGCAATGGGCCCTGGGGTTCAAGAGGCCTTCATTTCTCCATAAAAGTCTGGCCCACGTTCCCTGCCGCCTTTACCCCCTTCACTTCTATCATCCTTGCACTCTCAGCTCAAACGTCATTCTTTCCAAAACTTGTCCCAACCCCCAGGCTGATTTTACTTCCTCTTTACACTTTTTCTTCTTTGCGTGTCCCCTACTTTGCAGGCTTTGCTGGGTCGCTCCCTTGATACTCAGCCGCCTGGGCAGGCCCTAGACTGTTCTTCACTCGGTCCCAGCATTCAGCACACTCCCCATGTCTGCAGTGCTCAGCAGGGTGTATTGAAAGGGATCCATACAAGAACCTTGTGGCTGGTTTAACTTCTTCTTTTTTTAATTTTTAAAAATGATTCATTTTTATTATTTTTAATTTGACCAGAAAGAGAGAGGGAAAGTGAGAAAGTAAGCCACCATGTCCAGGACTCAAACCATGGTTGGTCATGTGGGAGTCCAGCACCTTAACCACCATGTTACCCACAAGCCCCAAGGCTGGTTTAACTTTTAAGCAGCTGGATTGCTGGTGTTCATTCCTCTGGAGCCCGTCCTAACCACTCTGAGTGTTTCCAAGTGACACATGCCTGCCCCTCCCCACACAGAGCCAAAGCGCTTCCATTCAGATTCCACTGGGCATCCAGGACCTGCCGGGCTCACGCTAGGCCCTGCCTCGGCTCTCGAGGGCCCACGGAGAACCAGCCAGGCCTGCTCACGCCTCTGGGATAGGAGGTGCCACCTTCCTTCACCTCTCAGGCTCCTGACTGCCCCTTAACAATCCTTAAGGTCCCTGGAATGGACTTGTGAGTCGGCTGCTGGTAGCGAGTAAGGCAGACTTCAGCTCACAGTCCTCACGGCCACCCTTTAAGGGACCCATGCTTCCCGCTGACCCGTGAGAAAGTCAAGGCCAAGCCAGGCTAGGCTGGTGGCAAGAGCTCACAGCGAGGGTTGGACAGCAGCTGTCTGACTTCAGGGCCAGGTGCCTCAGCCACTACCACCCTGTGCCACCGAGCCTCCCAAACAGAAGGCACTCCCCCTCTGTCCCTCTAGGCACTGCAGGTCCCGGAGCATCTGCTGTGCCCTGCCCAGGTTGTCCCGGTGCGGGGTGCAGGAACGGCGCCACACTGACTGGGAGCAGTGAAGGGACAGAAGTGGTAGCCCAGGGCCGCGGGCTGGGTGAGCCCTGTGAGCACAGAAAGGCACTGCCCCCATTCTGGGGCTCAGAGACAGGAGCTCTAAGGGAGGACAGGAATAACTGAATGAAGGAGAAGGAACTTTCTGGAGACCAGCACCCACAAACCTGAGAGTTGCAGGAGCTCCCATGGGGGGCTAGAGGGGGTTGGTGTTGGGCATGGCAGGAGGCAGGCATGTTAGATTACGGCTTCCCACTCCACAGATGTGCCAAAGGCCAGAGGGAGCTATTGAAGGATCTGGAGAGGGGATGGTACCAGCAGATTGTGGTTTTGTTTTGTTTTGTTTTGTTTAGAGAGAGGTTTTTGCTATAGGGCATGTTTGCTCACCAGAGACACAGATAGAGACAGAAAGTGAGAAATCACTCCCCTAAAAGGTATGGCCATGCCACAACCCCTTTTCTTCCATTCTCCTCTTGGGATTTTGGGCACGCATGCACGTGGGCACACATGCATGCACGCACACGATCCCAGTGTGAATCTTGAGCCACTGGGTCTAGGACTTGCGGTCAACTATGTGGGAGTCCAACAACATAACTATCATGCCATCTGCTGGTCCCCAGGTTGTTTTATGAGGATCACACAGCCAAGCTGTGGAAGGTGACTGAGAGTGGACGAGACAGGAGGTGACTCAATAGCCCAGAAGCTGCTGCCGAGATGCAGGGTGGGGCTGAGGCCTGCTCTGACCCACACAGGGGTGAGGGGGCCCGAAGCCGGCCTGCACTGGGCACTCACAATGCTCTGGCCATGCAGGGCTCCTCGGCTGGGGCACAGATGCCCATGTCCAGGGGCAGGTGCTGTCTCAGACCTGAGACTGCAGCGTGGGCAGCTTAGTGACACACAGGGTGCCCCGGCTAGCTGAGGTGGAGCCGGGCTTCAACCTGGCTGGCACAAGTGGTGACGGGACGGGGCTAGTCCACGCTCACCTAGGGGAGAGCACTGTCCTGGGTCTGAAACCCTAGAGCAGAGAGGGCTGCAGGGCGAGTGTGGCCCACTGCCAGGCTAGGCAGACGGTGTGGCCACCTGACACTCGCAGGGCCGAGGGCCTGTGTAGCCTCGCAGAGCTGCTGTGGCCGCCGAGGGAGTATGCGCCCGGAAGAGAATGGGCCAGGCTTCCTCTGGGAAGCCCCAGCAGGAGAGATGGTGAAGGGTGAGCTGGAGGGACCTGGCCAGAGTCCGAGGAGGTGGCTGTCCCACGGGAAGGCGACAGCAGCTCCAAGCAGGACCGGGACGAGACCAAGCCTGTTGGCTCTGGAGGGCAGACAGTGTCAACTCTTGTGACAGACAGCGGCCCAGGTGGGGCCAGCAACCATCTGACATTGTGGGTCAGTGAGGCAGGGAGGTCTCAGGGATTCGCTTGAGGGAGGTAGGGTCTCTCTGGGCCCTGGCACCATCCCCACGACCCTGGCTCCTGCACTGACGGTCAAATTCAGACCATTTCTGAGAGAGAGGGAGGGACGGGCCCAGTAGAAGCTGTCACTTGGGCTGCTCGGGAGCAGGCGAACATGGGCAGGTCGCTGTGGGTCCCCTCTAGCTGCACCCCAGGCCCCGGAGCAGCCTCTCTTCCTCTTCTCCTCGCTCACACAGGTCGTGAAGAACTCTCCTGTGAAGACTTTCGCCAGTGCCACCTTCAGCTCCCTCCTGGACGTGTTCCTGTCCACAACGGTATTCCTCATCCTGTCTGTCACCTGCTTCCTGAAGTACGGGGCCACCGCCACGCCTCCCCCGCCCGCCGCGCTGGCCGTCTTCGGGGCGGCCTTGCTGCTGGAGCTGCTGTCCCTGGCCGTGTCCATCAGGTGAGCGTGGCTGGGCGGGCTTCCAGCCCTTAGCTGGTAGCTCCCTCTTCTGGCTCAACGGTTTATGGCCAGAGGTCTGACTGCAGCAGGAAGGATGGACCATGGACCTAAGCCAGGCGTCCCTCTGCTTCCTGCAGGTGACAGGCCTCATTTCCTCCCCTCCCTCTCCTGCATCACGGCATCCCCCTCCCAGACTGGCCAATGGCCAAGGCGGGACCCACTTCACTAGAGATCTCGCGAGCTCGAGCTCGGACTAGACCGTGTCTTTCCAGGTGACGCTGAAAGCACAGGCTGTGAAAGAGAAAGCTAATGTTTGGGTCAGCAGGACACGAGCCTCTGGGCCGCAGAGACCACAGCGGGACCGAGGGCTTGGGACCGAGGGGTGCTCGAGGCCCTGGGCGACAGGCTGGGGTGTCCAGAACTCGGACGGCTCCACAAGGACAGGACGACCCCTTTGAAAGTCCCAGGGAAGCCAGTTCCATGGCTTCTCGTTGGCCGGCCCAAGGCCTCACTGCCTAATCTAGAATGGAGCATGGCTCTGCACCGCCTCCAGGGCTCCTCCATGCCGGCCCCAGGCGGGCGAGAACAGTGGTCTCGTCCTGGGAGCTCTGCCATCTCAGGACCATCTCCAGGGACTCCCTGTCTCGCCTTCTCCTTGGGGACCGGTCTCCTCCGCTCCCCCTCACAGAGCCTCTGCTCTGCCTTTGCGCACATTCATGGTTACTCTCAGAAATACCCCCAGGCCTCCATTACCCTTTAAATAGTAGGAAGCCAGCACCGACGGGGACCTAGAAGGGTCAGAGGGCATGTGAGTAGCTACGGACGTGGCTGGAGAGCCAGCATCTCCTTGTCACAGCCTAGCTGGCCTAAGCGTGTGTGGGCTGAGGTATGCTGGGCGGCAGCTCGGATGCTGGGCATGTGCGGTCCATGTGCTGCCGGGTCACAGTGGTGACTCCTGGCCAGCAGGCCGGAGGGAAGGCCTGCTTCCCCAGACACATGGTCTCCCTCCCTAGGAGGGCCCAGGACCCTCTCCTCCATCCTGCTCCCTGCCCCTCCCATCACAGGGTCCCCTTGCTTGGCCCAGACCTACTCTTCCTCCCTAGGAATGCCTGCAGCCTGTACACTCGGCCACTCTGCTTTATTAAAAATATGTTAAAATGTCAGCCTCACTCTCCTGAAGAGTAGCCCCCAGACACAGCTGCAAAGGGAACCTGTAAACTGCCATTGCTGTCACGTGGGTGGGGGTGAAAGTCACTCAGAATGGAATCCACAGTGGCCCCTCATGTGCCAGGACTCAGAAGCAGGCAGCCGTCTGTCTCCATGGTGGGATCCCTGGGAGAGCGATGGGCATGTGGGTGGCTGGCTCGGGCACCATGGGCTAAGCCCAGTCATTCCAAAACACCAAATGACTCTTGGTCGTGCTCCAAACAAAATGAAAAATAATCTTGTTCGCACCAGAGGTGTGTTCCTGGAAGACCAGTGTGTGAACACGCCCCAGCACACTTCTGCTTCTCTACGAAGCACAGCAAGGCTCCAGGCTGAGAGTGCTGGCAGGTTTCCCGCCCTGGTGTTCACCACGTGGCAGTGGTGTGGAGCACAGGGCATGACCTCCCTGGGTAGCACTCGCATGCATGTGGCAGGGTGTCCGGTCCCTGGGCCCCACCAGGTGTCAGCAGCACCCGCCATTGTGGTGCAGCCCAAAGCCTTCCCAAACCCCAGAGCTGCCCTGGTCGGGAGCAGTGGGAGCCGGTGACCGAGAGTGGCAGCCCCAGACAGCCAGACCTTCCTTGCGGCTGTGGCTCTCCCTGGGTGCTCTGTGAGGCCCACAGAGGCCTGTGCTGGGCTCTTCGCTAGCACTTCCCATTAGAGTGCACGAGGGACCCTGACTGAGGGCCGAAGAGTGGAGTGAGTCCCGTTTACTCGCTTCTGCCAAAAGCGAGGGAATCAGGGCTCCACCGCACCCAGCAAGCCCGGCCCCCAGATTCCTGAGAGGATGAGCCCAGGTCCTGGCTGGTCCCACTGACCCCCTGCCCCCTCACAGGATGGTGTTTTTCCTGGAAGACGTGATGGCTTGCACGAAGCGCCTGCTGGAGTGGGTGGCCGGCTGGCTCCCACGCCACTGCATCGGGGCCGTGCTGGTGTCACTGCCCGCCCTCGCAGTCTACTCTCACGTCACCTCCGAGTTTGAGAGAAACGTGCATGTGAGTAAAGGCTGTTTTATTTCTGTCTTCTGGACTCCCTCCCTCCCGCTCGCTCTCTAAGGCTTGTTACTTGGGATAACGACTTCAGTACAGCGCTCATAGGGGTGCGAGCTCTGCTGCTCCATGGCCTGCCTGTTAGAGGTGACTCGGTGCAGGCCTGTCTGGGCGCTCAGGCCCTCACTGGCCATGCTAGGACGAGCCCGGTGGACATGTGCCTCTTTGCTTGGCCTCCCTCAAGTCATGCCTTGCAAGAAACACCTGTTCCGCATTTCCAATAACGTGCCAGTCTGAGGATTGGCATGAGCGTGGGCGTACCTGGGTCAGCCGCTGCTGACCTGGGAGAGCTGTGGTGGGCAATTACATTTGGAAGTGAGTGCGCCTGGGCTGCGCTTCGGGGCAGGCGAGCGTGCCTGCTGCATTGCACCTCAGTGCCTTTCAGGGGCGCCGGGCGGGTGCGGGAAGGAAGCGTTGCAGGTAACTGACTACTCTGTGTTAGTCCGCAACTGGGGCAGCCTCCCCCACCTTCCCACCAGCACACGTGGCATTGCCACACCCCTGGAGAAGTAGCCCTGGGACTCGGACGTGAAGCCCTGGGTAACAAACCCAGCCATGGTGGGTCCTGGAACCGCTCGCTGCCAGGCCAGGGGTTAGCGCAGCCCATGAGCAGCTTGGCGGTACCTGTGCCCTTCTGAGACAAAACCGAGCAGAGCGCGTGGGCGAGGCTGTAGTCTGGGGGCCAGGCAGGCGTGGCGGCCGGCGGTGGGGCGCCCGCTAGCACCCGCTCCTCTCTCAGGTCACGGTGTTCACGGGCTCCGCCGTGCTGGTGGCCGTCGTGCACTACTGCAACTTCTGCCAGCTCAGCTCCTGGATGAGGTCGTCCCTCGCCACCGTCGTGGGGGCCGGGCCGCTGCTCCTGCTGTACATCTCCCTGTGCCCCGACAGGTACGTGTCAGCACCGCTGGCTGGGGGCCCCTGACCGTGAGGCCCCCTTGCCCAAGTCGCCTTGGGCTTAGCTGCACCTACACGTTGGTACTGACCCCTCCACAGTGGTGTTGACCATGGTGACCTGGAATGGCTTCCAACACACGCAATGCTGACAGTCGGGAACGGCCTTGCTGTGCGAGAGAAAGGTGCATAAAGTCAGTGACGCGCTACACGTTCGAGCGGACGCTTCCTCGAGTGACCGTCCCCAGCAGACAGCGCAGTACCCACACACCTGAGCTTACCGCTGACGAGTAAGCGGGGTCTGAGAAAGTGACACCTGCAGTGATTTCATGCAGGACAAAAGGATGTGAAAGAGCAAAGGTGTACACAGACGTGGCAATGAACAGGAAGCTGATTCTAGCCGCACTGGTGTGGGTGCGCGTACCCGAACGGGTTGCAGGTCGTTGAACAGAGGAGACGAGGCCCTGGGGTGGTCTTGACCTTGCTGGTGTCCCGGGCCCAAATACGTAGTTAAAAATGCAGTAACACCTTGGACGGCAGCATACACACATGAGTGATTTACTCAGATATTTCATGGTAGCTTAAACTCAGTAAGCATCCATTTATGTAATTTTCTCCTAAATATTGGACTTTTTTTGGGGAGAGGTTTTCACTATAGGTCGCATGCGCTCGCCAGACAGACAGAAGAGAAACAAAGCGAGAAATCACCCCCCCCCGGGGGGATGGGCACGCCGCAATCCCTTCTCCTTCATTCTCCTCTCGTGATCTTGGGCACTCACACACATGCGCCCGGCGTGAGTTTAAGCCACCGGGTCCGGGACTTGAACCGCGGTCTACTACATGGGAATCCAGCGACATAGCCATTACGCTAACGGCTGGTCCCTAAATATTGGACCTTTTAAAAACTGCTTATAAAAATGTTTCACTGTCAGCGTGTCATGAAGAGCCAGCCACTGGCAATGGCGAAGGATCTAGGTGGGCAGGTAGGGAGTGACGTGGGTGCTTCATGGCGCCGTGCAGAACATTGTCACGGCTTCCTCTGTGATCGTGATAGCCAGAGGGACCCAGAGTTTCTGAGGTCCCCAAAGGGCATTGCTGTTGCTGAGGAGCACAGCTTTAACCAAAACCTCAAAATGGTCAGTGCATCGCGGTGTGCGCAGTGTTGAGGGTAACGGTTATAATGTGTCCCCAGGTGTTAAGATGGCGGACATGACAGAACGAGTGTCCTCCCTCAGCCTACTTAATAAAATAATAGTGATATGATGTTCTCTGCAAATTACGATTGAAACGGGGCCCTGACGAGCAGCTGCCTCCCTTCAAGCACAGCAAGGCTACTTGTGTTCTGGTGGTGTTGTCCTCAGGCTCTCAGCGGGCCCTGAGGTGCAGCACTGAGCCTTCGGGCCCACTAGACGCACCCCAGATACCTCACCGGCTTGTGTGGCGTGGTCACGCCTCTGGCACTTTCCTTGTGGATCTCAAGACCCGCGGCCTGGGGGCCACACTTGCCCTTTATCCAGAATTTGAGGCACAGATCCTCGGTAGGGCTGGCAACGGACCCTCCCTTGACCCAGCACTGCACACACCCAAGACCCTCTGAGCCTGCCCGGCCCGCCTCACTTCCAGGCCTGACCAGGGAGGGTGGGGTTGGTCCACAAAACATAAACCCAACTTTTGTGAAAGGGGAGGGGCTCTTCTCTTCCGAGAGGTGCCCCAGAGAGGAAGTGCAGGCATGAAAGAAGGGGGGCACACAGTTATAGCGACGCCCAGTGTGTCCAAAAACAATAAAAAAAACAAAGTTCGTTGGAATCCCTCTCGGGTGGCTTTGTATGATGTCTTCCTTAATCTTTTAATCGTATCTCTCTGCATCTTAATTTCAGTTCCATAGTAATGTCTCCCCTCGATGCAGTACAGAATTTCAGGTAAGCTTTTAGTACTGTGTCTGCAACTGAATAAATGAGTGACTATTTTGCTGCTTATTTTGAAGCTTCCTGAAAACAGTTTAATCTTTAATAAAATGCATGGTTTGCATTCTTCAAAAAGCAAGTAGAGAATAAGGTACTTGTGGCAGTAACAGGTCACAGTTATAATAGTTTATTGGGAAAATAAGATTGCTAATAAGACATATTAGAGTTGGTTTAATTTTATGTAGGCATTAGTGTGTTACAAAGGAAATTTTACAAATCAAAGAAAAATAGTTATTTTATTCCCTAAAATCTTTTAAAATAACTGACTAGAAATTTGAAATGGTGTTAGTCCTGTGCTTTACTACAAACATCAAGATAAATCCTAAATAAATTGAAGAGTCAAAAATAAAAATTAAGTGGCATTGGTGGATCATGGTGAGCACAGCTGCCTTCCAAAAATAAAAACCAGACTGTATAAAATCCAGAACAAGTGTCCTTTTCAAGCCTCTAAAGCTGAGGTAACTTTCCCATCTTACTCATAATAAATAGGACCACAAAATCTGCCCGACAAATTAGAGAGGAAGGGAAAGAAAATCGAGGCAGGTGGAACGTTTGCGGGACTAGCATAGACGGCGGGAAGGCCTGACTGAGGACAGAAGAGCCACCCCCGGAGAGGAGGCGTGGGCAGAGGCGGGTGTGGAGGGAGCCAGCATCAGAGCCGCGAAGGCACCGTCCGCTCTAACCTTTGGTCTTTTTCTTTTTTGGCCTTAGGGCATGTGCACTTGCCAGAGAGAGACGGACACAGTGAGAGGGAGAGAGAGAACTTGCCTCAGGGCAGATGGCCACGCCACAGTCCCACCTTCTGCATTCTCCTCCTGGGATCTTGGGCACGCTCGCACACAGGCCCGGCATGGTTTTCCAGCCACCGGGTGAGAGACGCGAACCACGGTCAGCCATGTGAGAGTCCGGTGACGTAATTGCTGCACCATCTGCTGGTCCCAGGTCTTTTGAACTGTCCTCTCAAAAAGCTGTAATGTGGGGGGCCAGCAGGTGGCATGGTACTGGAGGCACTGGCTCCCACATGGCTAACTACCGTTCGAGTCCCAGACCTGCTGGCTTGCTGTCTCACTTTTTCTCTCTCTCTCGGGTCACATTAAAAAATGATAATAATAGGGGCCAGCAGGTGGTGTGGTGACTAAAGGCACTGGACTCCCACATGGCCGACTGCAGTTGGAGTCCTGGATTAGGGTCCTGGGCCTGGCAGCTTGCATTCTCACTTTCTCTCTCTCTCTGTCCTTCTCTGGTCAAATTAAAATAAATAAATAAATAAATAAAATTTCAATAAAATAATTCTTTAAAAAAATAATAAATAAAATTAGATAGGTAATTAAAAAAATTTTTTTTGATTTTTGCTATAGGGCACATGTGCTCGCCAGAAAGACAGAGAAAGACACAGAGACAGAAAGCGAGAAATCACCCCCCCAAGGGGGATGGCCACGCCGCAATCCCTTTTCCTCCATTCTCCTCTCGGGATCTTGGGCACGCACGCACACTCACCTGGTGTGAGTTTAAGCCACCGGGTCTGGGACTGGAACTACGGTCGAAACCACGGCCGACTACATGGGAGTCCAGTGACATAGCCATTATGCCACCTGCTGGTCCCAGATAGGTAATTTTTTTTTTAGAAAACAGTTGTAATGTGAATTCTAGTGCAGGCAAGGGTGTTGTACATCACAAATTGCAGGTGGTTATTATTATTATTATTATTATTTTGGCTACCAGGCACTTAAAATACAAGTTTATTTAGTCCTCACAATAACCTAACACATTAGGTGACTTTGTCCCCATTTTCCAGATATGGAAACTGAAGCTCAGAGAAGTTGAGAAACCTATCCACAGCTAGTCACTGGCAGTGCTTAGACCCTGGCTTCACTCACTCCCAGCCCATAGTCCTTCTTCCGTGTCTCACTACTTTTCAGAATGTGATCATCGTTTTGCAAAGTGATTTGACAGTCTATTTTAAAAGTCATAAAAATGTTCTTAGCCTTTTACCCGATGATCCTGATTTCTGCTTGTCTGCTGAGGAAATAATTCAGCACATGGTAAAGGATGCACATTCAAAAACATTGATCACAATGATTGATGATATTGAAAATTCTTAACTTCAATTGTCAATAATAGATTAATTAAATTATAGTACCTGTACTCAAATCTTGCAACTGCTAAAATAGAGCAAAGAGGATGGGCCAGCAGGTGGTGTGGTGGTTGGGGCCATTGGACTCCCACATGGCTGACTGTGGTTCGAATCCGAGATACAGCCAGGAGAATGAGCTGGAATTAAAACCAAGATTAAAAGTACAGCCCTGGCATCCTGCAAGCTTGGAATCGCTGAGAGGAGGGCCAGCCTGGGGACATGTGGGGCAGACCCACCTGGCAGCGGATTAAGAGGAATTTACACCAGGCCAAGAAAGCCATGATGATGCCCGGGATGGCTGCCCCCAGGAAGAAGCTGGCCCACAGAAAAGACTGAGCACTCGCCGTTGCCTCTCGGGCAGCAGGTGCAAACGCCTCCTGTCGGTGGAGACCTGCTCTGGCTGCATGGCCCTACTCTGGTCTGTGGGCACCACCCCCTCATTTTGACTTAGTATGGCGGCGCCCCTTACCCATGGCTTTACTTTCCATGGTTCCAGTTACCCCAGGTCAACTACGGTCTGAAAATATCAAATGGAAAACAGCCTGGGACACGAATCACCCCTTCACCAGGAGGACTGGCATACTGATTTTATATGCACTCCCTGTCCCTCATCTAGGCTACTGGGTGGAAAAACGTAGAGTACACAGGGTTCATACTCCCCCGAGTTTCAGGCATCCACTGGGCGTCCTGGATCAGGGAGGACCACTGTCTGCACCGGTTGGCCTGAACTCCAGGGCTGCGTAACCTTCACTGACCAATCAGAGTCCTGCATTTACCAGGTTGCTGTGATCTGCCAGAGACAGGCGTGTGGGGCCAGTTAGAGAGAGTCAACCCTGAGAGTTGTAGGGGTTTCTGGGGAAGAGCACTTCCCTGGGGCGTGAAGCTGGCGGGACATGTAGCAGCCATCCTGCCACCAAGTCTGAGTGGGAAGCAGGATGGAGGAAAGGGGTGAGGGGTAGAGATGGAGAGGGATGGGTGGTGGGACAGAGAGCCCCTGAGGGTCCACTCTCCCCCGAAGCTGCCTCCAACATGAGCATTTGTTACATTGGTGGTTTTCAACTGGGGAGAATGCTGGACAATGGAGACATTTTTGGTTGTCACATCTGGGTGGGGAGGTGCTACTGGCATCTAAAGAGCGGAGGTCAGGGGTGCTGTAGACATCCCCCACTGCCCACAATAAAGAATGAACTGGCCCAGATGGCAGCAGCACCGAAGCCGAGACACACTGCCTTGCGTAGGCCGTAGGCCCTACCATTCCCTTTCTTGTTCTGTCGCATATGCTTAATCCAGTTTGAGCCCTTTTACCTGCAATCAAAAGATCCAAGGAAAAGACATGAGGGGCCAGCAGGTGGCGTGGTGGTTAAGGGCTCTGGACTCCCACATGGCTGACCGTGGTTTGAGTCCTGGACCTAGTGACTTGCTTTCTCATTCTCTCTTCCTCTCTCTGACCTGCTCTGGTCAAATTAAAAATAAATACAGTTAAATAAAGTAATTCTTCTAAATAGAGCAAAGAGGAAAACATTTAAGATTTTCACTTTTTGTTAATTATATGAAGTATGTGCTCTAGCGACAGCTAGGCATTTCTTTATACATATTAAAGAGCTGCAGGAGCCGGTGGCATGGTGCTAAGGTGGTTGGATCCCACATGGCTGGCTGTGCAGTTTGAGTCTGAGATCCGGTGGCTTGAGAGACACCAAGCATATGTGCATGTGTGCCCAAATCCCTGGGAAAGGGAGATATGGAGAAGGGATTGTGGCGTGGCCATCCTCCACAGGTGTGCTTCCTCACTTTCCCTCTCTGTCTCTCTCCAGTGAGTGCATGACCCGCAGCAAAATCTTTTTAAAAAATTCTAACAGCGGAAATATTTAGAATATACATACTAGAGACGATGAAAACTGTAATGCTATTTAGATTTATCACCTTTGTGGATATGTGTTAGAATAGGAAATCTGACCACAGTTCGAGTCCCAGATCCGGTGGCTTGAAAATCATGCCAGGCGCATCTGGGTGCCCAAAGTCCCAAGAGAATGGAGGAGAAGGGATCGTGGCGTGGCACTTTTCCTCTGTCTCTCTCTGGTGAGCACACATGCCCTATGGCAAAAATATGACAACATATAATAGCAAAAGCCAACTGGAGGGCATAAGGGCCTGGACAAATCCGTTTTGTCACCTAAAATAAACAGTTATTGTGCTCAGTAGTAGAGAGTCCTAATATATATTGTCATCTGTTTCAATGACAGCAGAATAAATCAGGCATTCCGCATAAATTGCGTGTTGGTGCGGCCTGGGCACCGCGAACCAAGGCCCGGACCTGTGGCTTGCTTCCTCGCTTCTATCTATCTCTCTCTCTCTCTCTCTCTCTCTCTCTGTTCCTGCTAAGAAATGGCAGAAACCTGCCCCAATCCCCAAGCTCCATTCTGCACAGAACCTTTGACCGGAAGGGGCTTAGTCGAACTCCATCATCACAGCGTAGAAAATTGAGCCCCCAGAAGACGGCATGGCTCACCAGATTCCCGAACTCCACAGCTCAGCCAGGACAGAGCCCAGGCATACTACTCCGAGGCCAGAGCTTTTGTGACGTGCCCCACAGGCAGCCGTGGTGGCCACCTTGGTCAGGTTCATCATTATTATGATTTTAGTTTTGCTATAGAGCTACCGTACTTGCTGGGGAGAGACAGGAGATGAGGTGGAGTGAGGAATCACCCTCCTCCCCCTGAGGGATGGCCATGCCACAGTCCCTTTCCTTTCATCCTCCTCTTGGGATTTTGGGCACACATGCACACACATGTGTTTTTGAAGCCACCAGATCTGGGGCTCAAACCTTGAAGTTGGCCATGTGGGATCCAGCCTCCTTAACACCACACCACTGGCTGGCCCAGGTTCATTATTTTTTAATATCCTTAAGTCATAGATAACAGTAAAGCTTATTGAACACCTTGGTTAAAGAACTGAGCTTTCTCGGACAGCCCAGTGGCCTAGTGCTTAGGAAAGCTCAGTCGTACAGGGTGAGCCACGTGGTTCAAATCCCGAACATGGAGAACTGAAAAACACATCAGGCGCGTGTGCCTCCCCACGATTCCAAAGAGATGTGATGTGACCACACCCAATTTGGGGGGGTGTTATCTCTCTCCCTCTATGTTGTATTTTTAAATGGAAGGTTATATTTTAAAAACAAACTGTGTAGTAGACAGTGCTGGCCCCGAGCTGGCCCTCTGACCCAGGTGCTCTCTAGCAGTGTGCTCAAGCTGGAGAACAGCCCCGCTGAATGGAGGTTCCGGTATCGAAGGCAACAGGACTTGATTCAGCCGCTTACAAGGCTAATCTGGAACTCTCTGTCCCCTCTGTCTCTCTCTCTCTTTCCTTTTTGCTAGAGGACCATACACTCACCAGAGAAAAACAGAGGAGAGAGAGAAGACACCCCCCATGGAGAATGGTCATGCCACAATCCCTTCTCCATCTCTCCCTCCTTTCTGGGTTTTGGGCTTCTCGAGCCACTGGGGCAGAACTTGAACAGCATGGTCAGCCTTGTGGGATCTAGCTGCCTTCACCATCAGACCACAGAGCTGGCCCCCAATTTGGAAATTCTAATGAAATTCGAAATATGCAATATTCAGAATGACTCAGCAATTCGGCAGACAGAAAGATCTGGGTACAGGAATACATTCACTGCAGCATCGTTTACAGCAGCGTAGTCTGTCAGCAGGAGTCTGGTTAAATCCGGGCACATCCATGCGTTAGAAGACTGCAATGCAGGAAAATTGCTACATTGTTACCTTGAAGAAAGACACTTATTTTCTGTCATTTTTACTGTTTGAGTTTTTTTGCCATAGGGAGAGTGCACTTGGTGGAGAGACAGAGAGAGAGGGAAAGTGAGAAATCACCCACGTGGGGGATGGCCACACTGCAGTCCCATCTCCTCCATTCTCCTTTTGGGATCTTGGGTGCACACACACTCAGCCAGAGTGATTTTCAAGCTGCTGGGTATGTGACTCAAACCACGGTCAGCTGTATGAGAGTCCAGCGCCTTAACCACCATACCATCTGCTGACCCCGGTCCTTTTAACTTTTAAAATGCCAGAGATCATTTGCACTCACTGGAGAGAAAGAGAGAGAATAAGAGCCCACCTCCCATGGGGAATGGTCATGCTGCAATCTTTTCTCCTCCAATAGGATTTGGAGCATGCACACATTTGCACCCATGTGTTTTTTTGTTTTTGTTTTTGTTTTTGAGAGGTTTTTGCTATAGGGTGTGTGCGCTCGCCATACAGACAGAGAGAGACAGAGAGACAGAAAGCGAGAAATCACCCCCCAGGGGGGATGGCCACGCCGCAGTCCCTCCTCCTCCACTCTCCTCTCGGGATCTTGGGCACGCACGCACACGCTACATGGGAGTCCAGCGACATAGCCATTATTCTAACTGCTGGTTCCTACCCATGTGTTTTTCAAGTCACCTGGTCTGGGACTCAAACCTCACAGTCAGCCATATTGGGATTCAGCCACTTTAACCACCATGCCACCAGCTGGCCCATGTTATATTCCTTTGTAAATTTTTTTTTTAGTACTCAAAAATAGTCAAACTAGGGACCAGCAGTTAGCATAATGGCTATGTCACTAGACTCCCATGTAGTTGACTGCGATTCGAGTACCAGACCGGGTGGCTTAAACTCACGCTGGGCGTGTGTGCGTGCGTGCCAAGATCCCATGAGGAGAATGGAGGAGAAGGGATTGAGGTGTGTCCATCCCTCCTGGGGGGTGATTTCTCGCTTTCTGTCTCTCTGTCTCTCTCTGTCTTTCTGGTGAGCGCATGTGCCCTATAGCAAAAACCTCTCCAAAATAAAAAAAATAGTCAAACTAATCTATTGCTTTAAAAGTTAAAGTAGCAATTATTCCTTTGTATTATATTTTTCCTTTAATTATTTGATTTGAATTTACCTTACACATTTAATCACGTTACTTAGCTTGCAAAGTGAATATTCCAACATGCGCATTTCTCACCAGTCCAGCTAACAGTACTACAAAATTACCTTCTATCGATAATAACTCATTTCTTTGTCCCATAAATGACTCACCTCTCTATTTTTCTACTTAATGTCCTTCTTCATACTCTACTCCTTCACCCACCTTCTTCGTACACTGTATCTGGTATTTATAACTATTTACTATGTTTCTATATCCTCTAGTCATTCAGTTTCGGCTGAAGAGTGTGGACACTCTGTATATATTAAGTAAAGACATACAATGTCTCTCCTTCACAGCCTGGCTTGTTTCACTCAGCAGTAGATCTTCCATATTCATGCACTTTTTGTCAAAAGCCAGGGTCTTGTTTTTTTTTATGGCTGAGTAGTAGTCCATAGAGTATATGTGCCACACTTTTGCAATCCATTCCTCTGTTCGTGGGCATTTGGGTTGGTTCCATGTCTTAGCAATTATGAATAATAAAAATGTTAAAGTTGTCTTAAATCATTTTGACAAAACAGAACTCCAGAGCGTGAGTGGTATTCTGTGAAACTTTTATATAGGTAGGGATTAGAGAACTTACAAATGTTTTTTTTTTTTTTTCCTTTGGAGAGATTTTCACTGTAGGGCGCGTGTGCTCGCCAGACAGACAGAGAGAGACATAGAGACAGAAAGCGAGAAATCACCCCCCAGGGGGGATGGTCACGCCGCAATCCCTTCTCCTCCATTCTCCTCTCGGGATCTTGGGCACGCACGCACACGCGCCCGGCGTGAGTTTTAAGCCACCAGGTCCCAGACACGAACCGCGGTCGACTACGTGGGAGTCCAGCGACATAGCCATTACGCTAACTGCTGGTTCCCTGTTTTTTGTTTTTTTAATAATTTTTTTAGAGAGAGGTTTTTGCTATAGGGCAGAGAGAGAGAAAGCGGAGACAGAAAGTGAGAAATCTCTCCTGGGGAGATGGCCATGCCACAGTCCTTTCTCCTCCATTCTCCTCTTGGGATCTTGGGCACGTATGTACATGTGCCAGGGTGAGTTTCAAGCTGCGGGGTCTGAGACTTGAACCACAATTTGCTATGTGGAGTCTAACAACATAACCATTACACCATCTACCGGTCCGTATAAACGTTTTTGTAAAATTGCTAGTCTGGGGATCCGGCAGGTGGCATGATAGTTAAGGGTGCTGGACTTCCACATGGCCGACCGTGGTTCGAATCCCGGACCTGGCAGCTTGCTTTCTCACTTTCTCTCTCTCTCTTTGTCCCTCTCTGGTCAAATTAAAATAAATGACTAAAGGGAACCAGCAGTTAGCGTAATGGCTATGTCGCTGGACTCCCACGTAGTCAATCGCGGTTCACGTCTCGGACCCGGTGGCTTAAAACTCACGCCAGGCGTGTATGCGTGCGTGCCCAAGCTCCTGAGAGGAGAATGGAGGAGAAGGGATTGTGGCGTGACCATCCCTCTGGGGGATTTCTTGCTTTCTGTCTCTATGTCTCTCTGTGTGGCGAGCGCACGCGCCCTATAGTGAAAACCTCTCAAAAAAAAAAAAAAAGACTAAGAATAAAGTTAAATAAAATCATTCTTTTTTAAAAAAATTACGAGTCTGTTGAATTAGAAATTGAAGAGGCGATGGGACCAGCAGTTAGCGTAATGGCTATGTCGCTGGACTCCCATGTAGTCGACTGCAGTTCGCATCCCAGACACGGTAGCTTAAAACTCACGCCAGGCGCGTGTGCGTGCATGCCCAAGATCCTGAGAGGAGAATGGAGGAGAAGGGATTGCGGTGTGACCATCCCCCCTGGGGGGTGATTCTCACTTTCTGTCTCTCTGTCTCTCTCTGTCTGTCTGGCGAGCGCATGCGCCCTATGGCAAAAACCTCTCCAAAGGGGAAAAAAAAAAAAAGAAATTGAAGAGGCGAATATATCAGAGAACGTTAAGTTTCTCGGCTGTGATGATGGTGCTCCGCAGGGAACTGTCCTTTTTGTTAGGAGGGAAGGACTGAAATATTTAGGACCGGAGTGCCCCAGGGTCAGCAGCTTTCAAAATGTTCAGTGGAGAGTGTGCATGTGTGTGCATGTACGTGGGTGGGCGTGTGTCTGTGTGCGGGTGCACCTGCGTTTGTACTGAGAGAGAAAAGAAGGCAGAGAGGCGAATCAGTCCCAGGTGTTGAATTCCGGAGAAGGGCGTGTGAGTGCTGAGCTTACTAGTCTTTTGACTTCTATAAGGTTCAGTTGTTTCAAAATAAAACACTGGGGAAATAAAGATTCGAAAAGAAGTCAAAGACTTCTGGGGAAGACAAAATATAAATAAATAAAAGAGGTAGTTGCACAACGCTTATCAAAGAACTGAGCGCCAAAGCCACTGGGTCATTGCTGCAGCCCTGGGTCATTGCTCTGAACCCGCAGGCAGGCGGCGGTGCCCATGGCTGGGGTGGGGCAGGGCCGCAGTGGCGCTCCGTCAGGGGTGCACTCACAAGCTGTCCTTTCTCCTCGTTCTCCAGCTCCGGGAGGAGTCCATGCGACAGCTCGTTGCTGCGGGCCGACGGAAGACCAGCCACCCTCATCGGCCAGGAGCTGATCTTGGTCTTCTTCCCGCTGCTCTTGCTGGTCTGGTTCCTGAACCGCGAGTTCGAGGTCAGCTACCGCCTTCACTACCACGGGGACGTGGAGGCGGACCTGCACCGCACCAAGATCCAGAGCATGAGGGACCAGGCCGACTGGCTGCTCAGGAACATCATCCCCTACCACGTGGCCGAGCAGCTGAAGGTGTCACAGACCTACTCCAAGAACCACGACAGCGGCGGCGTGATCTTTGCCAGCATCGTCAACTTCAGCGAGTTCTACGAGGAGAACTACGAGGGCGGCAAGGAGTGCTACCGCGTCCTCAACGAGCTGATCGGGGACTTCGACGAGCTCCTGAGCAAGCCGGGCTACAGCAGCATCGAGAAGATCAAGACCATCGGGGCCACCTACATGGCGGCGTCGGGGCTGAACACGGCGCAGCGCCAGGATGGCAGCCACCCGCAGGAGCACCTGCAGGTCCTGTTCGAGTTCGCCAAGGAGATGATGCGCGTGGTGGACGACTTCAACAACAACATGCTGTGGTTCAACTTCAAGCTCAGAGTGGGCTTCCACCACGGGCCCCTCACGGCGGGCGTCATCGGCACCACCAAGCTGCTGTACGACATCTGGGGGGACACGGTCAACATCGCCAGCAGGATGGACACCACCGGCGTCGAGTGCCGCATCCAGGTGAGCGAGGAGAGCTTCCGCGTCTTGAGCAAGATGGGCTATGACTTCGACTACCGGGGGACGGTGAACGTCAAGGGGAAGGGCCAGATGAAGACCTACCTTTACCCCAAGTGCGCGGGCAATGGGGTGGTGCCGCAGCACCAACTGTCCATCTCCCCCGACATCCGCGTGCAGGTGGACGGCAGCATCGGACGCTCGCCCACAGACGAGATCGCCAGCCTGGTGCTGGCCGGGCAGTACTCGGACAAGGTGTCCCTGGGCTCCGCCAGCAGCACTCAGGCCAAGGATGCTCACCTGGCCTCTGAGAGAGCCTGGAGGGAGCCCGCCAGCACCGAAGAGAGGTGCCGACTTGGCAAAGCCGCAGAGAGAAACGGCTGCGAGGAGCCGGGGGTGGACGAAGCCGATGAACTCACCAAGCTCAATGTCTCAAAGAGCGTGTGAGGCGGCGGCTGCCCCGCGCTCAGCTCAGCTCGCTGAAACCCAGTGACGTCTGCAAGCGGCTGGCCTTCGGCCCCCAGCCTCCATCCTGGCTCCGGTCCTGCGTGGTCACTTCTGCCCTAACTTCTATTCAGGGTTCACTTCCATCCGTTTCTTCTTTCCTTTTGCTCCTGTCCCTGGAAACCTGCCCCGGGGTCCGTTTAGCCCGTGGAGGAGAACCAAGTGCCTTCAGGTTGGCCTCGGCCTCGCGTTTAGGACGGAGGCCACGGGTGGGAATCAGTGCTTTGGGTATTATTTGACTTTTAAAACAAAAGCTGTGTTAAGATATCATTTTTATTGCTTTTTCTCATGAGATGCTTCTTTTTTTTCTTTTTGGCTGATACGACGTTTTCGAGTTTCTCTCTTTCTGTACATGTAATAGTGCTGCCCAGTTCCCGACCTTCTGTGTAAGCACACACGCACACACACCTGCATTTATGCACCTGATATAAGTGCCAGTAATTCACGAGAGGGAGGGGGACGTGGGCCCAGGACAGCCACGGCCCAGCCAGCCCTCCTCTCCACAATTCCGGGTGCCTGGGCCTCCTGCCACGGCTGCAGGTCCCCCAGGAGGCCAGGCGGAGATCACAGATGCTGAGCGGGCAGTCCCGAGCCCAGGCCTCAGGAATCTCAAAGCCGTGTTCATCCTGCCCCTCCACCAAGGGGTCTTCCCACTAGGAATAAAGGTGATTGTCTTGGGAGCTGACTCGTCCAGGGAGAAACTCAAAATAAATGTCTGAGGGTTGCATTTATTTATTTATTTATTTGTCAGGAAACGAGCTTGTTTCGGAGAGGAGGTGCTGGGTGGCTCTGATGGAAGAAGGGGGCTCAGGGCCCGGCCTGCAGAGGACCCAGCAGAACATGACCAGGCCTTCCTCAGTGTTTGGGCCACCTTCCCCAAGAGAGGGCCAAGCGGGTCCAGAGCCATGACCAGTGTGCTGTGCTCGCCTGGGCTCCTGCCACCCTTCTCCCCCTGGGGTGGAACCCTGCTCAGCTGCGCAGGTCTGAGCAGGCCGCGAGCGCCTCCGCTCTCTCCGCACTCGGACTACACGGAGCCTCTGAGCAGGCTTTTATCTCGTGGCTAGTCCCGGCCCTGGAGAGGGCGTTCTTGCACTGCATTTAGGGACAGAGTCTGCATGCAGACCAAGTGCTGAGCTGGGGGGAGGGCAGGAAACCTAAAGAAAGTGACTCTGTGCTGTCACTGCTAACCCCACTTGTCACGTTGGGCCACGCTGAGTTGGAAGTGTGAGTCAGGTTAACTCGGGCTGGAGTTGCCTGCTGTCGCTGCGGTCAGTCTTCAGGCAACACTGGCCTGCGGCTCGTGAGCTAACTAACTAAGGACAAGCCCCTCCCCCACCGCACATCTCAGCTGGCAGGCCCCACGTGTGTTCCGTACACGGCAGTCCTCGCTGTGCCATGCCCACCGAAGCCCCACCATCGCTCCTCCTCCCAAGGCCATTCGAGAGCTAACTAACTAAGGACAAGCCCCTCCCCCACCGCACATCTCAGCTGGCAGGCCCCACGTGTGTTCCGTACACGGCAGTCCTCGCTGTGCCATGCCCACCGAAGCCCCACCAGGGCTCCTCCTCCCAAGGCCATCCAGGACCTGCTGCTTCTGGCACAGCAACCACAGGTCCTGAGCAGCCACCTCTCCAGGGGACACACCTGGACGGCCACCCAGCGGGCAGCCGCAGTCAGGGCCCGGCTGCGCAGTCGAGAGCGTGCTCAGCAGTGAAGGTTTCCGACCAGCTTGGTCGGTCTTCCAGGACCGAGGAAAGGGTGGTCATGACAATACCTCTTGCTTCTCAAGAATGTATTCTTATAAAAGACCGCAGATTTTTTTCCCTTAAAAAACACTACCTGATGCTTCCTTTGTATGCAGGGGCCGTGGGCCTGTCAGGATGGTTTTCCCATCAGTGTTAGGGCGTGCGTCTGAGTGTCCTCCTGTCCTGTCTCCCACTCCAGATTGTCGCTCCTTGGACTGGGTGGCAGCTGAGGCCTTTGCCGTTTCACTCTGTGCTCTGCAGGGAGCCTCCACACACGCTTCTCCCCTAGCAAAGCACCCCCTGCCCCAGGAACCCCGGGAGCCCCGGAAACTGCAGACTGTCGGCAGTCCCAGTGGTCAGGGTCAGCGCCGTGCAGATAGCAGCCAGCCGATGCCAGAGGACAGCTCGCCCAGAGTATAAAACTTGTCTGTAACAACACCCGGGCCTCCCTCGATCACAGGCGTCACTGCTGTGCTCTCTGGGCCTCCCCAGTTCCCTGCATACCTCGGCGCAGAAGCCAGAGCTCCGCAGCCGCACTGCCACGCCCCTGCTGTTGCACGGTGGTTGCTGGAGACAGACAGTCCCTGGGCAGGGGCCTCCGGTGCTGCAGAGAGGAGCTGGACACGCTCCCCTGGGCAGCCATGCCTCTTGGGGGCTTAGAGCAGGAAGCAATACTTCAGATTGAATGTGTGTAAATAGTCGCTTTGAGTTGCCATTGCTGTGTTCTTGGTCCCAGCTCAGATCAAATTATATATCTAAACGTGATAAACAAGCACACAGAATTTTACTCAGCGCCAACACGTGCAGATCATCAATTAAGAAACCTCCAAAAGGCTCGAAAAGTCCCCCAGATCACAGCACACCTGCACCTGGCTCTGCGGACACCGACCTCCCGCGGGCCCCGTCCCTGCACATTTGCACGTGCCGTGGAGAGCCCAGGCCGCCTGCCGCCTGCCGCGTGGGCTGTAGTCACTGGTAGCTTCCAGAGATGTGTCTGCCCTGGGATTTCTAGATTTTTGAGGTAAGCAATTTTCAATTGGTTGTTTCGAAAATCAAACCATGCCTAGAATCTGAGATTAAATTAGTAAGAACTCCCTGTCTGCATTTTCCGAATTTCTTTTGCTCTGCTCCTTTTAAATGGTTAATTCTAATGATTTCAAAGTGCACCCACTGAAGAAATGGACATTAAAGTATTCTGAAACCTGGATATTCCATGCCTGGTGTTTCCGCCTTAGCTCAGTACCACGCAGAGGTGGGGTCAGCCCTCGGGTGTGCTGCAGTCGGTGGCTGCGATGGGGTCCCTCACAGCACGCTGTGAATGTAGGATGACGGAAAACCTGGGTCGTACGTGTGTGTGCGCATGTGTGCGTGCGCGTGTGCCTGTGTGCGTGTGCGTGCGTGTGCGTGTGTGCGCGTGTGCGTGTGTGTGCGTGTGTTCAGGGAAAGACGCGCTGCTGTGAACGCTGGCCAATAAGTTCTTATTTTCACATGTGATCTTTGAAAACCTCAGGAGTAGAAGCTCTGCTTTGCTCACGACAGTTCACGACAGCCCACCCACTCACGAGGGCTTCAGGACAGAGTTCCGCCATGTCCTGAGACTCGACTGACAAAACGGGTTTCAGAGAACGGCCCAGGCGGCTCCCCTCGCAAGTGCGGGCCCTGTTCCTGCTGGTTCCTGGTGCCAGGAAACCTTTGACGTCCCAGCGCCTCCTTGCAGAAACACATGTGCCATCTTGTGCCTGTCTTGGGGGTCCACCCAGCTCCACCTCTGAGGCCGAACTGGGGTCTTCCAAAGGGAA